TCTGTGCAAAAGAGAAATTTATTGACTTTGCCTTAAATACAAGTACTAAGCAGATATACTGCGTTATAAGTAGAGGTAAATTTCTCTCAAGGATAGCCTCATCCCTTTCCTAAGATTTTATGATTCCCAAGGGAACTAGCAATTRAATTATCTGGATCATCAAATACCTCAATTTCCCATAAAGAACAAAGGACATGGGTCCCCTCTTTAAAGAATGATTCAGCCTCAGGTTTCCTGTGACAGGGAGAGAGTCAATCCTCAAAACAACAGCACTACTCTGGACAAAATGAAGAGGTTCTAGTTTTCAAATCTGCAAACATTCCATGCTAGATTATGGGAACCCCATCAAGGATCTCAGGAATTCTGCTGAAAGAAGCCACCTGGCCACAATCTGACAAGTCTCTTTAAAAGGTAACCATATGGGGCTGGGGCTGTAGATCAGTGGAGTACTGGCCTTGCATTGCAAGACACTGGGTTCGATCCTCAGCACCACAGAAAAATAAATAAATAAAAATATAACAACAACAGCAACAAAAAAGATGACTACATATACTCTTAKGAGTTGGATAACATGGTAAAATTCTGGAAGGCAGTTTGTATATCAAACTATCTAATAGGCACATCCTTTAATCTRGAAGTATATTCTAGGAATGTATGCTACAGAGATAAAGTCATGAGTGTGAATGTATGTATACAAAAACTTTCATAAGAAAAAAGTATTCATCAAAGGAAATGGGTCAGTAAATTATGACACAAAGAGATACTGTACTGCCTTTCAAAAATTATGAATTAGATCTATGTTTAAGCACAAGGAACTATAATATTCCAATATATTATTGAATAAAAAGTTACAGAACCATACTTATGTAAAAAAACGCCTATGCACAGAGATTTTAGAACTTGCTGATGAAACTTCAGCAATATTTAGTTCCTTATTTGAGCTTTGCTACATTGTTTTAATTTCTTACATGTATGTGTATATATAAATATATATATATATATACATAATATTATATATATATATAAAATGTTTCACATATAATGTGAAGCTTATTTATTTTTCACAGAAATAGTAAATACAATTTCTGCTAAGATTTGGTAACACTTAAATATCTAGCTTGACTACGTATGTGCCCAAGATGCAAAACAAACTGAAACATTACCTGTTTTATAAACGCATGTAAATCTACATCATTAGAATGAAGAACTTAGTCATAACACAGAAAGTTTACCTATTCCACTTTAGGTGATATATAGAATTACATTTCATGAATTTTCTTAATATTTATGGATTTTAATAAAACCTTCATTTAAGAAATCACTGTTAAGATGGTTCATTAGAATGGCCTCCAAGATTAATTCCTTCAAAAAAGTCCATTCCAGGGACTCCTTATCTAGTCCCAATTTGTTCTGCTGGTAGCTGAGAGGGCTACAAGCCACAAGCAGTTCCATTTAAAAGGGTTTGTGTGGCTTAACACACTTGCTTAGGTTAGGAGGTGAGGAAACCAAAAGGCAAGAAGATAAAGAGAAGTCACAGGAATGTGCCAAGCCGCTTTCACAGAAGGATTACGTGAGCTCCCCCACTGAAGTCCAAATGTAATGAAATGATAATGAAATGTGGGCAACATGTTGAAATGACAGCAGAAGAGAAGGTTTTCATTAAATTCAGACAAAAGGGAAAGCTTTCAATAATGATGCCAAACCAGATATCCAAAGAGCAGGAGCCAGGACTGAAAAACCACAAGTGCCTGGTAAACGTGCAATGTGAAATTGCAATAATCAACCAAATCTAGCCATTGAGCATCTATTTTGTACTCAGAACAGTGTTAGGAGATGTAAGAAAATAAGTGGAAGTGGAAAAAGTGGAAGACAAGTTCTTTTCCTTATGCCACAAACATGGGAAGAGACAAAAATAAAAGATTAAGTGAGGAAACAACTAGATAGATACATGACTAATGCTCAAAAAGCAAGGAGGCAAGAATGACTGGGGATGTCTCTGGAGAAGACCAAAGCTCATCTTTGCAACTGCATGTCCACAAGAAGCAACTGCAATGGCCAAGAAGAGAAGGTCTCACCTCAAGGAACATTCCTGAGAGAAGCAGAGCTAGGACCCACACAACACATGATTAAAACAAATATTAAAAAATCCCAACAAGTTAAGAAGAAAAAAAGATGTGTGGTGAAACAGCAAAATTCACCCTACTATGATCAAAGGAGCTGGTATAACCAGGGCCAGGACAGTTTCCAAATGACCAGTGGCCAGCCCTAGCAAGGCGATGCCGGAAAGGCACATTGCCATTATTATTCCACACTCATAGAAGAAGATATTTTTAAAAGCCAGTACAATGAAGATCAGTCAGATTAAGGGGTCTGCCCAGAACTCCAACTCCCACCTCTCTAGCTTAGCAATGCTCTAAACTTTTAGTCTTAGGTTCACTTTGCATTCTCAAAAATTACTAAAGAATTCAAAATTGAATTTTCATTTTGGGGGGATGTGTATATATGTAAATATAGTCTATAGGTGTACATATATAATAGACAATGCATATGCACATATGGATATATTCATCACATTACAAATTTGAACTGATTGTGAAAACACAAGAATACAAAAACACATATTCCCTAAGCCGTCAGAGGAATGATGTGATCATGTATCATGCAGCCTCTAGAAAGCTCCACTGTAYACTCCTACGAAAACAAGAGAATCCCTATTATGATGAAAATGTTTTGACCTCTCAGATTCTCCCAGAGGATCTGAGTGTCCCAAGGGTCCACAGTCATAGGGTGAGAATTGTTATCTAAATCTCAAGTCTATGCTTAATTTTYGGAGACCAGATGGTGGTTTGTCCAGTGAAGGACCTTCACAACCTGGCCCTGATCTCCCTTGACTGCCTCAACTCCAACAACCTTTGCTGTAAACTCCCCCGATAGCCAAGACAACCTCAGTAAAGGCACTGTGAGGACTCATATCTCTTTGCAGGCAMTCCTGTTGTGCCTTCTGCCTGGGATGACTTTCTTCTCCTCCTAGAGACTCCCACTCCAGCTCTCAGGACTGAAATGTCATCCACCGCCCGGCAGCTCAAGGAGAAGTGATCATTTTTTGCCAACAGCACTTTGCTTTTACCTGTGCTTCATTTCACCGCCTTCAGTTGTTTCCTGGTCAGTCCATAGTATGTCTGTCTCTCTTTCTTAATGAGCACCTGCCCAGCAGTGAGCCCTGGGGGGGGGGGGGGGATCTGGACCTGCCCTTAAAAAGCTGAGTCTCCCTGAGGTACTGGGGCAAAGAAATGAGGTTTATTAATATTTAATTCTTCATGCCTAGCACCTGAGAGTGGTTCAAAACTACTTATTTGCTTTGTCTTATGCCTTTAAAATGGGTTATTATTGGTGATAGGACTGTGGGTGGTACTCTATTCTGCATTACATTCTTTTAAATATAATAATGTTAAAGCATTGATAGCTTAGCCACATGTAGAAAACACTGGTATGTGTGGTATACAGCTGTATGTGTTCTATATACACATCAAGGCTTTAAGTTATTTAAGCCATTAACAGCAACAAGTAGAGCTATCCTCAAATGTACAGTGATACTTTCTACATCATCTGCCATATGCACATTTTTTTTTTTTTGGTCACCTGTAACTCACATATATTTGTATTACTTTGGTTCTATCTTCCTTCGCTTCCCTGGTGAAAGATTTCAGATCTTCTTTGTGTCCCATTTCCTGACTTCCTCATGGAACATTTCTCATTTTATGGCCATGCAACTTAGGGTGTTAACATTATAAGCAAGCCTAGCTTTTTAACTTTGAAGATCTCAATTAACAGAATATTCTCTTGGAAACAAACACATCTCTCGCTCTCTCTCTCGCYCTCTCTCAGCGGCCACCAGGGAGCCAAATTAGCTGGTTGCCTTCATAAAGTTCAGCAAAACATTTGCAGGGGAATGTTTCCCTGCAGATGGAATTCAAAATGGATAGTTCTGTAAAGGATTTTTATYTCCTAGAAGAACCAGAAAAACAGAACATTTGAAGTAGTGACATGACACAGTAGTCATTACWAACAAAGGGCTTTCCACCCCTTGTGCAAAATCTGAACTACTCATTTCTGCGTGAACACAGAAGCTTCCACAGAAGGGAAAAGAAAGAATGGGTTGGACTTATTGTTTAATTGGCCGCAAGCTGGAGACTTGCTTTTCTGCTTGGCTCATGCTGTGCTATTACCATCAGCCCGAGGTAATCATTTCAGCAGACTAACCTCCACCGGTTGCTGTCCCCTCCACAAGACCCACAGGCTGTCCCCTACCCATCTCTGCAGGCTTCCCAGCTGGACCTCCCCTGTCCTCTAAGAAGGGCTATGGTCTGAGTGGCATCTCTGCTCCAGGGGAGCCAGGCTTCTTCATTGAGATGCAGGTAGCGCTCCCCATAAGCAAGGGCTGCAGAGCATCATTAAAGTGGTGGGGAGACAAACAACACTCGTGCTGCATACCAAGTGCCATCCCATTTAACTGAATCATTTTATTATGAATACATTCTGGGCTGCCACTGTGAGCCACTGGTGTAAAATACGCTGGCAAAATGGATCTTTGCTAATTACGTTTCATGCATATTTCAGAACTTTGCACTGGGATACAGGAGGATGGTACTCATAAAAGGGAATTTTACAAGCAGGTTCACTTGCATTTGGCTCAAGATTCAAACTAACTGGTAACAAAGATAAGTTCAATTACTTTACACATTGTGTTTGTTTTAGCTGGAATGTTATCATTCCTTGTAACTCTGTCAGTGCTGCTGTAGTCACTGGCGGAAAATGAAATCCCTCTTCTAATTCACCTGGGCACACATTATAACAGAAGAGTACATGATCGCTAAATCATTTCCTCTCCACATTTGTTTTTGCTAGATTTGTCTTCAGTGTGAGGTTAGGATGAATTAAGGAAATGAGTGGCTGGTCTTGGAGAGGTGCTAGGAGAGAGACAGAGCAGGAAGCATGGTTACCTGCTTCAGGAGCGAATTATAAAGAATGCAAGTGACTGGTTTCTGGTGGCTTCTCACTCTGTTGTTGGCTTCACTCTCCATGGCCAGCAATGCTAGCTGGTTATTAAATGAGATGAAAAGTCGTCCATGGGCTTCATCAAAGTGGAAGAGGCATCTGAAGTCCTGACTTTTGGGGAAAGAACAGGCTATTCTCTGGATGGACAGTTGGTGCTGAGTATCCCAGAGTCTCAAAACCTGGATGAAAAGGGATAAGATCCTATGAATAGGCCAAAGATAATTCTAATTTTTTTAACCAATTTCTTTTTAGCTCACTCTAGACCCGAGGCATACAGTTATTTCCTCCACAGTACCATAATTGGTTCCTACTTCTGTCACAGCACATATTATTCTGTGCTTCAGTTGCCTGTTGAAATATCTACTAAAYAGTAAACTCCTCTAAGGAAGGGATTGTTTTATCCCAGTCCCTGAAACATGGCTTGGCCTGGAGCATTGCTTATAGGAGGTAAAATAGTGCTCTCCTAAAGAGGTCTGTGTCCTAACTTCCAGAATATATGAATATGTTATTTTATAAAGCAAAAAATAATATTACAGATGTGATTAGATCAATAACTTTGAGGTGAGGAGATTATCCTGGATTATTTGGGTGAATCCAATGTAATCAAAGGTCTTTAAATGTGTAAGAGAGAGGCAGAAAAAGAGATCAGCATGATACAGCACAAGGACTCTGCCTAGATTTGTTGGCTATGAAGATGGAGAATGGGAGCCATGATCCAAGAAAGCTATTAAAGCATGAAAGTAGATTCTCCCTGCAGCCTCCAGAAAAGATCACAGTTCTGCTGACACCTTGATTTTAGCCCAGCAAGAGCCATGTCAGAAATCTAACCTAAATAATACAAAAATACTATAAATTAGTGTTGTTTCAAGACAATGAATTTATAGTCAATTGTATTCATGGAAAATGAATATAATTATTTCTCTCTCTGTGTATTTAGATATCCATGCATTTTTTTGGTGAAATATAATAAATGGCATTAAATGAAATCAAATTCAAATAAACCAGATATTAGAGTCTTATACAAACATGATCAATGGATCAATGGATAGTAGAGGACAGACACTGAATGCCTGCTCAGGAGAAAGGCTGCTTTAAATTCAACAGATGCTAAATAACCATTTTTCCTATATTTTGAGTCTCTTAAAGTTCCCTTTATTCCCTGAAGGTAAGTTACACTAAGTTTATCACAGAAGAAAACTAAAGGAGCAGGTTTGGGGCACTAGTATGAGGTTATAAGTAATGGTGCCAAATTAGCATAGGCTAAAGAAGGGGAAAGAGTCAAAATAAATAGTAAAAAAATCCCTCCAAAAGGGGTTAGCAGGCAAGTTTTAGGGTCAGACTTGTGGTTTTAACCTTACTACTGGTCCCTTACTTTAGGGTGACCTCTAGCAAGGTTTTTTTTTGTTTTTTTTTTGTTTGTTTGTTTTTACTCTCTGAGTTTTTAGTGCAGTGCTATAAGAATTGAATGGGAGCCCATGTTCATGTTTTAGCATGAAAACTATACTGTAATAACTGTTTAATGGTGCTTTTTATTGTTATACTTATTTTATTATTATTTTTTCATCATACAAATATTTGAACCAAAGAGCAGAAAAGATTTATTCAAATAAACTATACTACCCAATGTGAGAATTATTTTTGAACAGAAAGATAGCTTCTGTTTAAATGAATATTATTTCATAAAACAGGCAACTAACAAGAGTTTTTAATCTATTTCAAATCATACACTACTTTGGAAAAAAAATCTGTTGAAAATGATAGCTCTATCCCCCTGACTGAATACTGATACCCAGGTTAACGTTATTTTCTATACAACTTCTTTGAGTACACAACCACACCCCTCACCTACATATCGGTAGGTCCTGGGATTCAAGATAGCAGCTCCCACAGTAATTGTTTTAGCCTGTTTTGCATTGCTGTGACCAAGAAACCTGAGTAGAACAACTTAGAAGAAGAAAATTTATTGGGGGCTCACAAATTCAGAGGTCTCAATTCATAGAAGGTCAACTCCATTGATCTGAGCCCAAGATGAGGCAGAACATCATGGGGGGAAAGGACACAGTAGAGGAGAGCTGTTTAGATCATGGGTGGAGCTCAAGATCATAGTGAGGTCAGGGAGCAGAGGATGTGGGGAAGGGTCCTGTGGAGAAAATACAGGGAATGCCAACTCTGATCCACCTCCTCCAGCCACACCACACCTGCCTGGAGTAGTTACTACCCAGACATTTAGTTTCAATATTTCAAATAGTTTCAGTATTTCCCAAAAGTTCAGTCCAAGTTTCATCTGAGACTCAGAGCAAACTCTTTGCTGTGAGTTCCTATAAAATCAAAAGCAAGTTACAAATATTCAACATACAGTGGCACCAAGTAAACATTCCCATTCCGAAAAGGAAGGAAAAGGGAGRGCACAGAAAGAAAGGATGGGACCTACCAAAACCAAGCTAGTCAAAGATGTCCCAGAACTCTTTCTGTAACTCCACATACAGTGTCTAAGACAAATGGCTATGAGAAGTTATTTCCAAAGGGTTTAGACAGACCCACTCCACTTTAATGTTTRTAACACACGTGTGCTTTCTTTTAGCTTGGCTATCTTCACAGCCAGCAGCTTGTCTTAGCAGACAGTCCAAATTGCCAGTATCTTTTAATTCCTGGGGTCTCCATTTCAACTTGGGCTTCACCCTCACAATGTCACACAGGGCCCTCTCAGAAGCAACCTGGATTTTGACCCCTGCTCTCCCAAGCTTTCCTTTGAAATTCAGGTGGAARCCTTCATGATCCCTTAAATTTGGTATCCTGTATTCCTGCAGAATCAGCACCATGTGGATTATGCCATTAAGGTCTGCTGCCAGCTCACATGATACCTGGGCTCCCTGGAATCATGGCTGCAGGGGCCCCTGAGTGACTGCATGGATCAATRTGGTGAAACAACTTCCTAGACCGCTCCCCACCATGTGAGTAAGGCATCCCCAATATGTCTTCTCAAAAGGAATTTTCCTTCTACATCCTTGAGTTCTCATAAGTGTGGTCTTACAAATTCCTAAGATACCCTCAAGGCATCTTTCCTTTTATCTCTGTGTAAAGTACTTAGCATTTCTTTAGGGACTGTAATCTCTTCAATAAGCACAGCTTTATTGGCCCCAACTTTACATGCACTATTCCAGTCAAACTGAAAATTTTGAAAATCCTTTAGCTCTGCTTTCTTCTCCCAATTCTCACAAGAAACTAGCTTAAAGCTGCCAAAAATCTGCAGGCCACTGACTAAACACTATGATGCCTTGAAATTCTCTCCACCTGATCAATGACTCCATCACTTTTAAATTCAGTCTCACATAGTCTCAGGACATGGGCAAAATGTAACCAGCTTCTTTGTCAGAATACAGCATGAGTGGCCTCTAGATCAATTCCCAAGAGAGTCCTCATTTCTCTCTGAAACAAGAGCACAGCCCCCAGTCCAACCAGCATTCTAGTTTTCYGAGCTCCCCCTAGAATCACCCATTAAACTCTGCTTTACAACAGTCTGAAATCTGCATTTCCAGAGTTTCCCAAATACTCCCACAAACCATTTCCAAAGGATTCTGAAACACATGGTCAGGTGAGTCACAGCAACTACCCCACTTCTACAGAACCAATTTCTGTTTTAGTGAGTTTCCGMATCACTGACCAAAATACCCACAAGAACAATTTTGAGGAGAAAAAGTTAATATGGGGATCAGTTTTTCAGAGGTCTTAGTCCAATAAGACTGAAATGGATGGCCAACTCCATTGCTCTAGACCCAAGGTAAGGCAGCACAACATAGAAGAAGAGCCCAGCCCAGTTGCTCAGCTCATGGTGGTGTCAGGAAGCAGAGAGAGAGAGAAAGAGAGGGAGGGACCACAGGAAAGATGCACCCTTTCAGGGCATGCCCCCAGTGACCCCTCTCCTCCAGTCATAACTCCCTGCCTATAGTTACCACCAAATAGGATGGACAGATTAAGTTACAGCTTTCATAAATCTAATTCCTTAACCTCTAAATATTCCTGCATGAACAGGAACTTTTGAGAGACATCTCATATCCAAACCATAATAGTAATTTGTAAATATAGTCATCCAAGGAATCTCTCCTGCCTTTTGATTTTATTCTATCTTTTTTTCACCTCAACTTAACTCTCCTCTTAAACCTCTTCTCCAGAATAAATGACCCCAGTCTCTTCAGCCATCTTAATATCAGTTTACAGATTTCACATCTTCCATCATGGTAGCCTCTAGATTCTCTCTGGCTTCATTTTTGTTCCCACTTTCTCCGCAGGGAAGAGTAGTGATGCAGACTTGTTTACTTTTAAAATCCATGGTAAAAATGTGTTCTTTGTATAACATCAAATAGCACCAGAGAGCTTTTAACCCAACCTTATCTCTACCCTAAGTCTCACTTCTTGGAGACAGTCTTCTTTAACTCTTCCAAGGTTATGATTTTCTCCATAATAACACTAACAAATATCATCGTGTATGTATGTATAGGAGGTGTGTGTGTGTGTGTGTGTGTGTGTGTGTGTGTGTTGTCCTTAGAGAAACAGTTATACTCTTTTTCTGCTTTTCATATCCCTCCTTTCCCAAGCTGAATATTTTAAGATTATAATTGGTTATTATAATTTTAAATAAAGTACTTAAAATTGTTGCACCACTAATTTAAGACATTATCTCTGAGTACCTTAGGGATCTCAAGGATCTTTTTTTTTTTTTAAGAAAATTGCCCAGAACTGAGCCAATATTTCAAGTGAGTTTTTTGTTTGTTTGTGAGTAGGGGTATACCAGGGATGGGACTCAGAGGCACTTGACCACTGAGACACATCCCCAGCCCTATTTTGTATTTTATTTAGAGACATAGTCTCATTGAGTTGCTTAGCACCTCACTGTTGCTGAAGCTGGCTTTGACYTCACTATCCTCCTGTCTCAGCCTCCTGAGCTGCTGGGATTACAGTTATGCACCAAAACCCTCTGTTCAAGGGAGGTTTAACCATTACAGAGCCTATGACTTTTTCAAAGCACCATAATTTTGCATTGGCTAATAAGCTACTTCATCCTGCTTTCCAATTGCCATGAGATTCTGATTGGCCAAAGCTCTASATTTTATTCTCATGAACAAATAAGCTAGCCAGATATCTAACWTCCTGCCTTTAAAATCAGTATGAAGGTTTCTGAAAG